CTGAATAACAATATTCAGGAAACATATGGAAAGGTATAAGAAAGTAATATCAGTATGTATTATTTCTGTTTTTCTACTTTTCCATCCATTTACAACTTGTAGCATGTTACTAAAGAAAGATCATTGTTAGTCATTTTAGTTGTCAGCATCCTATAGTTGAAACCCTAAAAAAAAAATTCTTTCTCCTCCTACCTTTTTCCGATTATTCTCTATTTTGCTGCTAATTGAGCACTCACTCCTTGCAGTACTCTTGAAGTAGACCTATATGATTAATTAATTATAAGTATAAACAGGTGTAATATTTTTAGGATAGATGATTATAGCAGATCTTGCTACAAGTGAACCTAACCAAATCTTATTTATGAGCTACACTTATTCAATAGCCTTGCTCTTTTTTTTTTTAAGACAATTGGATTAATAACTAAATGTGTCATCAAAGCGAATTTTTGATACATTTTAGGTTGTGGCAATTGCATCTATATAAGAGTGATTATTTTATATGTTTTGGGCCCTATGTTCAGGATTTGGGATCCATCACGGGACATAGTAGTTGGAATATTTTTCCCTACTGCGAACTCTCTTCAGACCTTTTTGTACCACCCACAGGGTATTACACAAAAGCAATATCTCCTATGTTCAAATTAATAATCTCAAGTTAGTATCAAGTAGGTTTGGTTAGTCACTGCCTATTCACACATATAACAAACCTAACCGAACATCTTTTTATGTTGTCATTAAGTTGCTACACTGTATTCAAGAGCCCTTGCTCTTTATTTTTTTTAAGCATTGATTAATAACTATATATGTGTCATCACAGGCGAATTTGATGACCTTTTAGGTGGGAAATGCAAATCTTGTATAATAGTGATAATTTATTGTTTGGTCCCGGCTGGTGCAGGATTTTGATATCCATCATACTGGGTGACAATAGGTAGTGAATTTTTTCCCTTCCTGTGCACATCTCTTCAACCTTTTTTTACACACCACCAAGCGTATATAACCACATTGTCAAGTCAAATATACATACATCAAGCCTTATTTCCAAGAAGGTTAATAATCTCAGTTAGTATTAAAGTGGTTTGTAGTCACTACGCCTATCACACAATAAATAATCCCACTAGTTTCAGAGGCTAAAGCCCTCTGACACCCTCCACACACCACTTTGGTATGGTACAATTTAGGCATGAACCCAGCACCGCCTTCATGTGATAGGAGTGACAACCACCTCTCCTCTAGGTGCTTCATCAACCTCTTCCAGTCCCTGTTCCCAACCATCTTTTTGGACCAATCCACCCCTGTCCTGGTCAGTGGGTCCAAAAAAAATCCTTGGACATATTTCTCCTCCTCTTCCGTAGAATGGAGTCTAGTCCAATTTCCTCATTCTTGGGACTCCCACAATACTTCAAGAACTTAACTAGACAAAGTTTTATTTGTCTTTGATTAATTATGTTGAGATTTAGTTTTGTTAAAAAGTTTATTGTCTTCTAAGGTGTGTTTTTTGGGCTGTTGCCTTCCAATCATGTAAGGGTCCAAGTGCAGATTTTCTCGCATCTACCTGTTTACTACTAGATTTGTGTCATTTTTTCTATTACTAGATCCGTTAGAGCAACATCTCCCTCAGGCAACTATTTCTTCCTAAATCTTTTATCCTCAAGTGGTTCCAGGTCAAGGTTTACCATGATCACATTGCAAAACTTGCAACAAAGTGTAATCAAATAACACTTAACAATGGATGAAACTGGATTTTAAGCTTTATAGCTCTAATGCATCTATATGTGGAATCACATATACTGTGGACCCCTCAGAAACATGAAACCTAGTAACTTTCCAGAGAAAAATTCAGTAATTTTGTAAATGATATTCAATATCCTTACCTATTCTGTCCCACAATTGCTTCTATCAAACAAATTATCATTATATAATGCTCCCTTCATTGCCATAAAAGCACATTTGTTGAAGAAAAGAATTTCTGGGAACTGACTATTGGGGACAAGTTAAAAGGATGCTGGCCGAGATTTTATAGTACCCATGATGATCTTGGTGCTACAAAATCCAGTCACGGTAATGTTTTGTGAACAAATTCTAACTAGTCAATTTTATGTACTTTGCCATTACAAAAATTTTTCGAACAACACCTCAAGAAGTACTCACCAAAACAAAACATTCTTACAAGGGCATTCACCTGTTATCATTTATGTAGCAGATTTCAGTCCCATCTCACACACTAGTATTGAATGGAACTCAAATCATCATGGGAACCACTACAAAGACAACAGCCCTCCCTGGCAGAATTTTTCAATCCAAACAAACAATAGAAGAAATATACATCTTCACCTTCCTTCCCTCGTGCAGTGTTAATAAATTGAACAAATAGATGTTTTGCAATATGATATTCATCAAAATTGTGATGATAATCTGAATTAGACCCATATGATGTCTTCCTCCACACTTTTCAACACTCAACAGCTTCCCAATGAATTTCCTTACGTCCTATATTTTCTTCCATGCTAGATTCAATTTTGGCCTCCACCCTAAGTTTTTTTTCTCCAAACAATCCACTCCAATTACCTTACTCATGCTGAAATGATGAACTACTTTCACGACAATATCTATTGTGATCAGGCAAGTGGACCAAAGATGATAGAACCTGATGATAAAACATAAAACAATGACATTGAACAGTGAAACCACACCAAACACACAACACCTTGCTGTCCTACAGAGAAAAGTTTCTTACAAAGTGTATTCTCAATACACATACAGCAAATAACTACACATTTCTTAATTACAAATCTCCTATACAAACATATAGATACACAACCACCAGCAGGTATTGTATACTCGTCTTGTATTTTGACTTTCTTCCTCACCCTTTTCCCAGCAGCAGCAATATTCATTTTTTAAATTTTGTTCCTTTTGTATGGTACGATTTTATTATATAGGACTAATACATAATTTTGAGTTAATTTTCTATCTTTTGAGCTTATTGTAATGTATACTACTCCAGCATAAATACATACAGAAGTCAGTTACTGCAAAGTAACGCTATGCGAGTTACTCCTCATCCTAACCCTTTTGATCTTTCTTAATTTAATGGTTTCTAATAAAAAATTCATTTTTAAAAAACTATAGATAACTTTCTTTCTAATCTAAAAGCTAGTACGAAATCCATTAATTTTAATCCCGACTATTCCTACTAATAACAACTTCAATCCTTAGGGATCTTTTTCTATCTAACTTGGATCTCATTGTCGGGCTTCTATACACAATTATCTATAAGATGGCAATGATTTAGATTACCAGAATTTTTACCAAACAAACTCCCCGGGAATGTGCCTAGTTTTTGTCCATCTTTACTGCGTGTTCCCTCTGGAAAGAAAAAAACAGAGGCTCCTGTTTCTTGATCAAATCCCATCATCGTTTAAGGACGTCCCCTGGCAAGGTTAGAGCCAAGAAAACTGAACTTGAACCATCGTTTATGTCTTGTTATAAGAACCAAAGGGGACAGAATGCACTGAGAAACACTGCATCCATCCAAACAAGCAACTGTTTAAAATGAACTGCACTACTAGTTGATAATAGAGAAAGAATACCAGCTGGCTTCGGCTGTCCATGCGCTTCAAAGGAATACAACCCAAAAAAAAACTATTGCCCACCCAATTATTGGAAAAAAGAAATATATCCAGTCTGCTAATGAACTTGAAGCTCTCTTCTCTAACGTAAGAAGAGTATAAGCTGTCTAGAAAACCTGAATATTCGAAACTATCACAGCGGGGTTCTGAGGTTGGCAGAATTCTCCATCCCTCTAAATTCCAATTTTGAAAATGGTGCTCACAGTCCAGTGTAGCCCACACTTTGGCAATAAAATGGTGGAACTTTCTTCTGTAGCGATCAAACAGGAGTACCAATGGATGTCAACCATCATCAGCACAAAAAGAAATAGGCACTGAAGGCTGTGACAACATAAAAGCAAGCTCCCCTGACTTTAGATTCCACTTTCAAGCTCTGCAAGTAAGAGATAATCAATACTTGACAAAATAAATCAGTCTCCCATAACATAAATCAAAAACTCTAATCAAATAAACATATTATACATACCAGGTAAAATAGCCTCTTCAGCAGACCCAGCTGCAAGTAGTTCAGATCTAACAACTACATCTCTGGGAAATTTATTCTGAACAATAAATTTAGGACTACCAAACAGCCATGGTACATTTTCAAGCTTCTTAGAGATTCCTTGCATGCTACATTGAGGAGCTACAGAGAAAGGGAAACAACCATAAAGCATAAATAAATAAAATTACAAACAGTCATTTACCATATTTACTATATACAATCATTACACCCTCATCCAAATATGAAGGAAATAAATAAACTAATAAACACCAAAAAAACACCAGATTAGTATTGAATCTTTTGTAATAGGAAGATGTTATCAAAAATGCATAATGAGAGTACACACTTACCCTTGTGTGAAATCCTCAAAACTGGGTGCTTATAAGTTGTTCCACGAGTGAGTACACAGCTGCAAAGCCGATGGGCTTCAATCAAACAAAACTAAAACCCCACACACACACACATAAAATAAACATGAGACAGATTAGAATGATAAAGAATTACATTACTTACGAGGGTGGAAGAGGATCCCCAAAGAATCTCGCTTTCTTGTGGCCTGTAGATTAAAAAAACACACAATAGTAAAGAAAAAGTTGGGAAGAATAGAAATGCAAATAAGAAAGGAAGGACTACCAATTATGAAGACGGTGGTGGATTGGAGAACTGAAAGAGAGAAGAGTGATTTCCATGGCATCAAAATTGATGACGAAGAAATGCTTAGGGTTTTATTTGTACTTTTCCCAATTTGGAGTCGTAAATTTCAAAGTATCATTTCGTTCAAATCAATCACTGATATATTTTGTTTCTTGACTTTTGCTTTGGAGTGACACAGCTCAGTTCAGGGATTGTTTTCTAGACCAATTTTCACTTTGGCTCAATTATAAACTACACCAGTAATCTTTTATCTTTTCTTCTAATTGGTCTAAAATTAACATCTTTTTGTATTTAAAAAATTATTTTCTTACCACTCTTCCCTCTGATTCTTGTGTACTCCTTTCCTAACATGCCTGACCATTCCGCATTCCTATTTTTTTCAATTACATATAATAATCCAAAAAAAATATTTTTTTTTAAGTTTTGGCAACAATAATAATATAATAAAAAAATATTATCAAAAAAGACATGATTTGAGGGCGAAGAAAAAGGGGGAGGATAACTCCATAAAATTTCATATTTAGGAAAATATTTTCTTATCTTTATTTTTATAATGGATGAATATAAAAAATTTCTGATATCTTCAATTTCATTTTGAAAACAACTTTACCTTGTATTTAAGGTCAAAAAATATTTTTTTTTTGTTACGATACTTTTTACATAATTATATAAATATTAAATACTGATTGGTAAATGTTAAATAAGTACAGAAAAAGTAAAAATATTAAATATTTAGTTTAGAAATAAGTAATAAAATTTTACACAAAATCATCCTATCACATCCTAAATCATTCTATAAATTGTAATTCATACACATTCATCTAGGAATCTGTTTTCAAGTCCACTTGACGTTTGGTGCTCCAAAAAGGTAAATTTACAATCTTAACGTCTTTAGAAAAGACTTTGGGCACAGAGTCACAATGAGCTAAGTTTTAAGGCCTGACTTACTTTGAGGGCGAAAGAAACGCCATAGTTAGCTCAACCTTTCCATAATAGCCGTAAAACTAATAAATCCCGAACTAATAACTAATTAACAAAATATTTAACAACTCAATTAAAAAGTTTTAAAATTTTTAAAACTCAATTAATCATAAAAATTTAACAGATAGTTAGTTTAAAGTTTCCCAACTTAACAGAAATTTAAAACTTAATTAAACTTTGTTTCTTCTAATAATATTGTAAAATGAGATTATTTGTTTTTTGGACTAAAGAACCATGCTTTTGTATATCTTGAAATCGTGAACATTAATACCTTAATGAATTCTTATTTTTACAATTTTGTTTAATATAAATAATAAGTTTTTCTTCTAATTTTCCTTTTGCATATACTAAAATGATATAAAAGAGCAGTCAATTTAATCTTAAAAAGTTGTTCTTGGACAATTTTGTATAATATTTTTAGAATAAGTTGATCGAGTAAACATTTTCCAATGAGTTACCATAAACAGGTCCAATTTGAATTTTTTAATTTGTTGAAAATCAAACCCCAACAAATTTACATATAATTTTAAAAATTTAATGGAAAAATAGACACTTGCATAGATGTCTCCTTTAAAACCTACAATTTTGTTAAAGTGTCTTTCTCATGATACATTATAAAATAGGGTAGGAATTTTAAGAATCTATTTATAATTAATCAACTATAATTATAATTTTGTTTGTGTATATGCAACATTATTGCATGAGCATTGACTATTAAAACGATGGTATTTTAAATATATAGTTGTAGTGTCGAAAATGGGTTATATTTTTAGAAGAAAAAATTAAATAAGTATGAAGTACAATCATATTATATTTTACAAATGTATTATTTTCAAAAGTTTCATTCCTATTATACTAATTTAGCTAAAATGAAAACTTCTTTTCTAAAAGTCAACCAAATATCATTTATTCTATCCCAAGATATAAGAATTATATCCTTAGAATAACTGTTATTTATTTTGGAAATAGATATAAAAATAAAAAATAATTATTAAGATTTTAATATAAGAACATAAAATACGATAACTATGTTTCATATTATATAAGATCAAATATTATTTACATTTTTATAATATAAAAAGTAATTACATAAGTAAGATATAGTTTTTTATAATTTGATAAAATTATATTTTTGTTTATAATTTTCATTATTTGTAAAAATACCTAAATTAAAATTATTATTTTTTTGCAAAAATTATATAACTTAACAAAAAGTCACTTAAGTATTATTTAATTTATATTTATATTATATTATCATTATTTAGTTTGTTATTTTACAGGATAAAATTATTATTTATTATTATTAAATTTGTGATCTTCTTATCTTATAATATTTACCTATTTTTACAAGGATTATAATTTGTTTATTTAAAAAAAACAATTTTAAATTGTGGATGATGGAGATAAAAAATAAAAAATACAGTTAAGGTAAACAATATTGAGATATCTTCATAAAGAATTGTTTATTGTTTTTTTAATAAAAGAAGATAGCACCATGCTTGATTTCCTGGCTTTCCCCCTTTCCTGTTTGCAGAGAATAGAAAACCAAAACATCCATGATTGAACCCTAAGTTTAAAATTACCGGATAGCCAATTCCAACACTGGTACGTATTTCTGTCTCAACCACGTCTCTATGATTCATCTCCTATAATCAGTATTTTGAAAATCATTGAATTGGAAAAGAAGTTGTAAGTTGATGTGATAATTTTGATTATCGATTGAACTTTTGTTGTTTTTATGATGTGGTTATCACGAAGGTTGTTTTGTGTGATTCGATAAGATTTTCTTTATTATGCTCAGGGAGGAAAATTAGTTTGTATATTTTGTCAATATTTGGTTATATATTCGAGAGTTGAATGGAGTGAGGTGATATTGTTTGAATATTGTAATGGAAGTGTAATGCAGAGAGAGTGAGAGAATTAGTTTGGGTATGTATCTTCAGAATTAGTGGGAAGAAAGTGATTATTAGATAATGTAATAGTAATGTTGAAAAACTTGGGCTTTTCTGTTTCTTCTGTTGAATAGGTAAAAGCTAATAAACTCACATGATGTGTGAAGAAAACAAATGAACTATACCACTCCAAAAACCAAATAAAACCACACCTGAATTAACCAGACATTCTTTTTAAATGGTTTACGAGTTAGGAATACAGAAAGTTCATTGGGTTTCACATTTCAGTTATCTGTTCAATGAAAACATCTGGCTTCTCAATTGGCTACCCCAGTTCCATCTCAGCCTCTCCCAACAATCAAAGCAAGCAAAACCCCTGATTCTTCTCTGTGAACCCTTAATTCACACATCTTATTCCAAATCTCCATAAATTTTTTATTTAAATAATTATATTCCTCCCTTATCTCTGCAGTTGCTTTGTATATCAATGTAAGTTTGATTGTGATTCTCTTTTCCTGAATCTGTCTTTCTCATTGGTTTTGCAGTTATTTCTTGGTTCACAGATATATCCATATTTTCTTTTGGTCCTCATCTCATTCTGTCTCAGATTTATGTTTTATTTTTTTTTGCCTTTTTGGATTTTGCTCCTTTTTATTTATAATATATGGTAAATTGGTGCAGCCATGTTAACTTGTTCTTTCTAAATATGTCTTTGATTAATTTTACAAAAAAAGAAAAGAAAACAGTAGTCTGATGCTCTCAGGTTTGGTTTCTTGGTTTTGGTTATTTCCCGTCTTATTAATCTCTCGGTGCTTGCCTTGTGTTGGTTCTGTAATAATAAGATTTGAGATAAAATTAAGAGATAGTTATTATCTCGAGGTCATGAGATACAACAACTGCAAAGTTTTCGTTAGTGTGAATATTTGTGAATCATTATCATAGTCCAGACACTTTGAATGTGAATGGTTCTTCCAACAATTGAATGAGGATTATAAGACTTTTCCTTAATAAATAAACACAATCTAGTTGTATATTGTGGAAGAATAATTTTCTTGAGTTAACCCACTGTCAAATGTCAATTGATGTTCATGTGGTACTAATTCCTACCTGACTGTAAAGAATGCTACTAATAAACGAACTTAACACGACACTACAAATTCAAACAATTTCCAAACTCGTTCAAATTAAAAACAAGTTCTAATATGATTCTGGAGCACTTGCTGAGTTTTCTTCTTACCTTTGTTTTTCCCTAGCCTTATGTTTCTGAAACCATTGATGAGTAGAATTGATATATCCTGCTATACTACTAGAAGACTTGTTTAGTTATCTAAATTTGCATCTTTTTGAACGAGTTCAGTGAAAAATTGTTCCAATCAGGCTGTCTGAGGTCGGTGAACTTTATTTCTACCATGGCCAACAAATCTCGAGAAGAGCCCAAGACTGCTCCTGAGCCTGATCGGTGGTACAATCTCACCCTTGGACCTTCCTTCAAAGATGAATCCTCCAACAAATACTGCACGCTGCGATGTAAGTTCCAAAACATAAAATTCATTTCTAATAGTTTTCTTTTTTTCTGGTGGGTCAGTTTTTGTTTTCCAAGTTACTGGCAACTAGGCATGGAATGTTCACTCTTGATTTTGCAATGATTATATCGTCAAGCTTTTTGACTTTTGTTCTTTATTTTTTTCCCTTATTTATGTTGAATTTTAATCATTAAAGTCTTGAATCTGTACAGATGAATTTAATCCAGCTTCAGTTGATAAGAATAAGCCAGGATTGTTACGCAAGACCAAAGAGAACAGGATTTCTGTGGAATTTCAGAACAACCAAATTGGAAAACCCAAGGTGACATTTGAGGGGAACAGTGAGGATTACAAGGAAAACGATGCTGTATTGTTTTTTGATGGTGAGACACTTCGATTGGAGCGTCTTCATAGGGCCGTAAAACAACTGCGACACCTACGAATGCCTGGTGAATCTGCAGGTGCTGCAGCTACAGCTGTGGCTGCTCCATCTGGACCAGCTTTGGATCCTCGATCATCCCCTGTTGGGAAGTCTGTAAAGCCAGCATCTCTTGGCAGGAGCTCATTTCAGGCTGTGCCAGTAAGTGCTCACTAACTATCTATGGCATAGTTGTGTATACTAGCTAATTCCATTGTATCTTAAAATTGCTTGCTGTTAGAAATTTACATTATAAATATGATTATTTTTACAATGCATTGAGATTTTTACTGATTTTATGGAGTTAAAAATTTATTATGTTTGGTATGTCATGATTACCATAATGTATTATTGATATCATAATGATAGAGAGAGAAAGTTGGGGAGGGGGTGGGGGGAGGGTGAGTTGATTGGAG